GAGAGGCGCGGCGCGGCCGAATCAGGCGCGCCGGGAGCACCACTGGGATGCCGAAGATGCGGCGCACCTTGGCGCGCGGCGCGTGCGGCAGCGGGCCTGGCTGAAGCCGGCCCTGGCCGCCGGCCGGGGAGACCAACGCCACGTCCGGCAGGCGCAGGACCGCTCGTCTCCCGCTTCACCGGCGACTTGGAGCGCGCCCGGCTGCCGGCGGCGGCCGGCGGCGGCTGCGCGTCCGCCTGGCCGCCGTCGCCGGACCGTGATGGCGGCCTGTCACGGGCGCCGTCTGGCGTCAGCAGCTCCCGCGACTTGGCGTGCACAGGCACGCCCCGATAGAGTCGGTCGAACACGCTGCCGCCCGGTCTGGGCGCCGGTCTCCTGACGGTGCGCTTCTGCTCCGCCGGCCGTTTCTCAGGTTTGGGGTGGACCTGGCGTTTGGCGGCTTTCTTCTTGGGCTCCTTTCTCTTCGCTGCAACATTTTCCTCGATGAGAGATGAGTGCTCACTGCTCGATGCCGCTGGCCTCCCAGCAAAAAGACGATCGTAAAAGGAGCTTTGCTTGTCTCGTTTCCTCTCTTTCTTGTCTTGGGGATCATTACCATCTCTATTCGACGTGCTGGCTGCTGTCTGCTCAGTATTACCAGGATCACTCTTGTCTGTCTTGCTTTCTTTCTTGCTCTTCCGACCGCGACTGGGCGTATCCTTTCCTTTTTCGATGTCCAGATTGGCCTTACGACCCTTGCCTTGGTGCATCTTGGCCTGCGAGTCAGCCTCCCTCGACTCTTTCTTGGATTCCATGGCGTCCTGCTCGCGGGCGTTCCGAGCGCCTGCAGCGCTTCCTTCGGCTGAGTCGGACTTAGTCCCACCCCTGGCTCGGCTCGTTCTCGGCCCATACAGCCGGTCGAACACGCTCGTTCGCTGGACGGGCGCCGGCTTACCGGAGGGGCCCGGGGCGCCCCGGGCCGGCGGCTGCGTCTCGTCCTCAATGGTGATGCTGGCTACCGTCTCCGGTGTCTGCAGCGGGGGTGGTGCCTCCTTCAGAGCGGTCTGCAGCGGGGGTGGCGCCTCCCTCGGAGCGGTCTGCAGCTGGGGCGGCGCCTCCATCGGGGCGATCTGCTGGCGACCGGTGGTGTCGGTCGCCTCCTGCAGCGGCCGGCGCGTGATCAGACGGTCGTACAGCTCTTCGGCCCGCTGTCGCTGCGACTCGTCGATCGTCGGCTCCGGCTCTGGCTCCGGCTCCTGCTCGGGCCCGGGCCTCCCGCGGCCGCGGCTCGCCGTCCTCGGCTCGGTCCGCGACAGCCGGTCAAACACAGAGCGAGGCTTGCTCGGGTCGCTCGGGTCGCCGTCGAACACCTGGCTCCAGTCGCCGCGCCGCCCAGCCATGGCCGGCGGCGGCGGCGGCTCGGCCGGCTTGCTGGCGGCGCGGTACTGAGCACGGCTCTCACGCACCGCGCCGGCCGCCGCGCGCCGGCCCGGCAGCAGCGACGAGAACACGGACGCCTCGCGCGGCGGCCGCGTCACGCGGATCTTGGGCGGCTTCGGGCTTCGCGGCGCGACAGCCGGCCGACGCCCGACCGCGTCGCCGCCCAACTGTCCGCCGGCGTCTCCGGCCGCTGGCTCCACCGCCCGCCGGCCCGCCGGCGGCGCGTCCGTGCCACCGGACACCATGGTCAGCGACAATTAGCTGCACGATAGCCAGGATAAACGACCATCCGCGGGACGCGCCGCCCGACACGCGAAAACAGGAGACAACAGAGCTGCAGCGGCGGCGCTGCTGGAGCGAGCGTGCGGTCCTGCCGGCCTGCGTCACCGCAGTGCCTCGGCGCCGGCTGTGTGCCGGGCTCTGTGCGCTCCAGCCGTAATAGCCGCTCGTGCCGAACGCATGACCCCCGTCCATCGGGGACCGATCAGCGGCGGCCAGCGCCTGGCACGGACGGCGCGGCGCTGCTCGTTACCTGCCGATGATTATCGCCGGCGTCGATGAGGTCCGTCGACTCGTATGGGCGCCGTCCCAGTCACGGCCGGCACCGTGGGTCAGCCCGCGGGCAGGGCAGGTCAGGCGACTGCTGGCCGCTGGGCACGCGATCTCCAGCCCGGGCGCGCCTCGGCAGGAGGGCGATGTACGCACTGATGCTGGACGCGACGCACTGCGATGAACGCACTGATGCTGGACACGACGCTCTGCGATGTTCGCACTGATGCAGGACGCGATGCACTGCGATGAACGCACCGATGCTGGGCACGACGCTCTGCGATGAACGCACTGATGCAGGACGCGACGCACTGCGATGAACGCATTGATGCAGGGTGCGATGAACGCACGCGACGCACTGCGTTGGCAAATGGTGCATCATTTTGAAACGCATTCAATAATCACACCCATTGTTTGTCGTCATTGTGGGTTTACAACGTACTCAACTGCTGAAGCTATATGGGGCCGCCTGCCTTTCACCCTGACAGGAAGGAAGGGCACTGCGGGGAATCGAGACCCGCAACTTGAGTGTCCCAGACGTGCAGCTCAAGTACTACGCTACCAGCGCCCCCAAACCGTTTGTTACGCCGCTGTACTAGCTGAACTGGGAAAATGGACATAAAACTGTAAATGAAGATTGGGCGCGATGCTTGTTTGTTTTTGCTTTTGTTATGTTCTTGGGATGTTAGAACAAACCCAATCCCGACCGGCTCGTCTTCAGCGGCGGACCCTCCCATCGGTCAGTGCATTCTGCCCATTCGCTATACAAATAATCCCTTCTTCAAATGGCGTCAATATTTACCCGATCTGTCATTGGTCATTAGAGCACGTTGCGTCGGGATGCAGAAACACAGAATCAGGCCCCCTGCCCCAAAGCTCTGAGAGTATGTTTTGCCACCCCCCCCCCCTCCAAAAAAAACATTCCCAGAACTTAATAAAAGTTTCGTCTACTTACCGACTGTTTTAACTTTAACTGTTCCAACTGTTTTGTTTTAACTTCTGTTTAAGATTCAAAAGCATCTCGGTGTTTTTTCGGTTTTGAATGGTGTCCCTACTAGGTACCCGCGAGAGGCACCATGCACTGGACCTTGGATCCTACACCAGCCAGCTGGCGACGAACGGTTGCGCCCCTCCCCCCCAAAAAAAACTACTCCAGGCTAGACCCGCCCCTGATTAGGAGTACCAAACAAAATGGAGGCCTTCGATGGTTAAGTATGTCGTAGTGTCACCAAAACAGTTGTCTCGAATACACACGGTCGTGCCCTTGGCTTACGATTCCAAGGTTTTCTTAGGCTTCCTTATTCTAGTCATTGCGGTACGACTCGATGGCAGCTGTCAACTGATGCAAATTGGAGCCGATAGTGCTTTCATAGTGAACTTGTACGCGCATGGTCGCAACTACCTCGCACAACCATAATTTTTTTTTTAATTTACCGCCCCAGCGTTTGCAGCTATCTGCCGTAGCCGGTCTGCAAACGCTGAGTGCTGTACTCCCACGGGGCCAGCTGAATAAAATGATCAGCTTAAACGGACAAATGTTTTTCATTGCCAGCCCAGAGCCCTTCAGCCATGCTATCAAATGCATGCCGTTGCACTGTCCGCGTGCGGTTAGAAACATTTTCCTGGGTTGCCGCACGCTGGCCCCCACACTACGGGCCGGCCGGTCAGATTTAGCAGTTCGCTTTAGGGGCTACATGAATAGAATAGGTGACGTCTGAAGACGACTGACTTACATTGCCGAACGGCACTGCCCACATATTGTTATGTCGTGCACACAATGGCACCCAGAGCACATGAAATTTTGTTTTTATTGACCACCGTGTCTGCAGTTTGCTGCTACGGACGGACCGCCAATGTGGGGCGCACATTGTGCACTGGGTGCACATTTGGGTGCACATTGATACACTGTCAGGGATTCAACTGAATGAAAGGGACGCCTTCGCCGGACAAGAGTGCTGCAGTGTCAACTGATAACCCAAGAGCAACGGCATCGAATGGACAGGTTAACACTTCTCATGCGTGTTTATACGTGTTTCACCCGACTTCCTTATTACGGCCATTACGCTATGGGGTAGCCGGTCGCATTTAGTAATGCATGTTCAGGAACTCATATGTGATAGAGTTACATGCTGGACGACAAGTTTCCAACAAGGATTATTTTCCCACATGGTATGCACACGTTGCACCCGCATCACTCGACAATGAGTATATTTAATTGGCCGCCGAAACTTTGCCGCCTCGGTCAGCCCGAGTTGTAGTGCCAGCGTCTAGCCCTACAACAGTGGGCTAGGAGCAGACGCTGCAACTCGGGCTGAGGATGGGATGCATACGAGCTGACTCACTTGCAACACTTGAATTGTCGAGAGGAGGCAGAATAATCGGTGCATGTTCGCGGAGCCCAATTGTCGGTATGTGCGCGTGCTTTGGCCGCTCGTCGTAATGCTATTGTTTATGTTTTCGTGACCTTGTACTTATACTTGCATTCACGAAGTCCGCTACGGCGCTTTTTTACAGAAAATGTCTTGCCTTTGGGGCATGTTTCAAAAATATACTCTTGTAAAACCTCAACACCATGTATGTATAAGAGTGACACATACCGCCGCGTGATATGCCATGCAGTCCATATACGTTCTTTGTGTTTGGACGGTTATACTTTGCTGGAACCTGACGGGGGCTAAGTCTCATGCACCCTCCCCGTGTTGGCTGCGCCACTGCGCTTAGGCGCTCCCCCCCCCCCCCCTGCCCCCTTTCCCCGGCGATCGCAGCCCTTCACCGGGCGATATTGCAATTCATCTGTCCAAATATTGCGATGTCCGGAAAATTTAGATGCTTGGATGACTAAGCTATTCGAATGAATATTTTCCAGAATACTCAAATCATGCTCATGTTAGTATGGATTGTACGGGGTGACATATTTCCACGCCCTTCATGATACTAAGCAGTACTTTAGTGGTTGTGTGGGTTTTGGGAAATATCACGGAACATGGCGAATCTTTTTCATTTCCGACGCCCGGCATCGGGCATTAGCGTCACTTCAAAGTGCTGCTGGTGTGGAAAGTTCCGTGTGGGGTTGGTTGCTGCGGTGCATTTATTGACGCAGGTGCGTGTTGTTTTCGGTTTGAGGTTTTTACTAGACTGGCCTCTAATAATATCAACCAGGCTTATGCTGATATGTTCTTTGTTTTTGTTTTCCTTGAACGTATCGGTAATGTTTAGGGGCGTGACACCAAAAGTGAAGCTGGGGTATCCATGTAAGGTTTGTCTTTCTTCCGGCCCTGATTCCGGGTTAAGGGGTAACTGTTTTCTATGTTTTTCCTGTTCCTGTGTCCACGCCTTGCCGCTATGCTGATAGACTTAGCAAAGATCACGTATTGTGATTAAAGCCTTCAATGTAGTTTTTGTGAACAGATCGCAGCTTGAATATCAACTGTGAAGGATATCACTTGGCTCGCCAAAACATTAGCTCATTGTGAGATAACTTATGTATTTGTAGGGCCTATATGCACAAGGTAATGTGGAAGGTGTCTTAATGCTGTTGTTCACATGTGACAAGTAGTTGATAGATGCAATTTAATGACTCAGGTCATGATAAGTTGTGGTTGGTGTAGCTTTCTATTAATATGCACACATGCCTTTCAGGATGCATCTGCTTCTCTTCATTGGAGGAGCCTTGTTAAGGCTCTACTTGATGAGCAATTCTTTCTTCAAGAACTTATGTGATGGAACTATATTTTCAACTCCACTGACATCTTGGAGCCGAGGTAATACATTGTAATTTTCATTCTTCGGTTGCATCAAAAACTTCCTAAACGTAGGTAATCATGCAAGGTAGTTTATATCCAAGTGCTATGCATGTGATATGTTATCTCTGAAGCTTAGGATCATGACTGATCTGATGTTATGATGGTTCAGATGTTTTATCTACCTTGCATTTCATTATACTTTCTCATGATAAATACTTACTATAACCTCTGGTTTTCAGTGACTGAGGGATACTTCCTAATGCAGCAGGGGATATCACCATATGAGGGCGATATGGTCCATGAGTCTCCCCTGACATTGATCCTGTACAGCTTCCTCATAAAATACTGTGAAGCCTGGATTCCTATCATCTTCATTCTGGTAGACATCTGTACTGCACACATACTAATGCTGACTGCTCAAGCTTTCATCAAGAAGCAGGTATGGAAATGTGAGACAGCACTGAGTCATGCTTTGGTTTGTCACATAATGTTCCTGATCCTGATCTGGCAATCACCTGGTATGTAGCAGATCACTGCCAGCTGGTCAGTCAAACCATCTATGAGTATAGGAGGTGATGAATGACTTAAAACATTTTTTTAACCTGCAGCTACTAGCACAAAGCTTTGTGATATTTGGAGGGCTGCTGTTCTGGCATGCTGAGTAATATTTAAAATTTATATCCTATTTTAATGAATTGGTTCTTAAAGTTTTGTGTACTAATTTCAGTTTCAGGGTATATCCCAAGCATTGCTTACTGTCTCTATCCTAAGTCACCTAAGCTGCTATCCTATCCTATCACCTAAGCTGCATTATCCAGTTCATTGGATAATGTTCCCTGTGCCCTTGTGCCAGGCAGGACTGCAGAGGGTTTTGCTTTCAGCATAATCCTGTGGCATTATCATCTTGGGCATGTTTGCACCTCCATTGGTCCATTTCCAGCTTACCTGGCCATATTTGTCGAGCCAAACAGTGCATGGTCATCTCATCATCATCTTCTTTGCCAAGTGTGCCTTGCTCTGCTGCAGCTGCTGGAGCAGAAGGCGCGGCCGCCACCGGCCGGTGGCGCGGCGCCCCTGCCGGTGACGGAGGAGCAGCTGCAGCCAACGGCGCGTCTCGTGGCGGCTGTGTACCTGTTCAACCCGTGCACGGCTGTCAGCTGCGCGGCGCTCAGCACGGCCGGCCTGCACCAGCTGCCATTGGCGCTTGTGTTCTACACGGCCGTCACAGGTCAGGAATGCCCTACAACTGTCACAGCCTCAGGGCAGTCACACACGGCCAACACAGGCCAAACATCCAGCTGTCGCAGAGGAGCCGTGGCTGTCACGGGCCTGTGGCATGTCAGTCACGTACCACGTGATGGTGGAACACTGTCTTGGATTCGTTCAACCCATCATGGGTGGGGCACGTCACAGGTCAGCCACACTGCTAGGATTGACCCGTGGCAGCTTCGGGCCAGTCGCACACGGCCATCACTTATCAGACGCATCGGTCACGGGCGAGACAGGGTCCTCACAGTTCTGACATGGTCGTCACAGCGCTATGTAAGCTACGTGCGGTCCTCACGGACCTGGCACATACCTGGCAGGCCAGCCACGCCCGTGTCACGGGTCGGTCACGCCCGCGTCACAGGTCGGTCACGCCTGTGTCACGGTTCATTCACGCCGGCGACCGGTCACGCACAGACACTCATCATTGATGCATGGCAGTGTGCCTGCAGATAGAAGAATTCGCAATTTTACTACCTGGGCAGTGGGTGGACACACATTCCCCGGTGGACCGAACGGCAGAGCTGAATATCCGCAACTTGGTGTACCGGTGTCTGAGGTGTAAAACACCGCAGCGCATTTGCTTGTGTGGTTATAAATTTGCCACATGCCAAACCCGAATGAGCCGTGCATCCGTGAGCTGTGCACACACACCTGTTGCAGTTTCCACGACAGTTTCTCCGGTTCGATCACTTTCACCGGTTCGGACTGACGCGGCCTGCGCGGCCGGCCGCGGCGAGCGCTGACGAAGGCGGGTGCGCGCGACGTCCGCAGGGCGGTGGCCGGCGTGCGTGGCCTGTCTGGGCGTCAGCTGCTACCTGGACCTGTACCCGGCGGTGCTGCTGGTGCCGCTGCTGGCGCTGGCCGCCGACGCCGGCCGCAGCCGTCTGCTGACGGCGCTGGGCTGCGCGGCCGTCACCGGCGCCCTGCTGCTGCTCTCGGCTCACGGCCTCGGCGGCTGGAGCTTCCTGCGCGCCACATACGGCTTCATGTGCGTGTGCGGACGGGGACGGGCGAGGATGCTGACCTGTATGCCAGGTGACCGGGGCACGGAGGCGGCTGCTCGATGGGCTTCGGACTGGGGTGCTGACCTGTATGCGAAGTGACGGGGCACGGAGGCGCCCGCCCGGTGGGTGTGACAGCAAGGGGATGGGGACTCGGCAGACGCCCTGCGTGACGGTGACTGGTCTTTTTTAATTGGATGGGGTGGCTCCTGTATTCTTCCCCGTGATCATATGTTCTAGTGGCTTTCAGCACCTCTCAGTGTCATTTGACTAACCATACCGCCGCGTAACATGCGTTTGACATGCATGTAATCAGACTTTGAAACACTTATGTGACACTAAGTGAAGTTTGTCTCATTGCGTCCAGGTTGCAGTCAAGAGGCGAATATCGTGTTCTATAATGCACGCTAATTCCAAGGCAGAAGAATACTAAAATCCACTGTTTTTAAACCGGTTGTGCCGCAGCCTGGTCTGCCACCGGCCACGGCCGCTGCCCCCCTCCCCCCCCACCCCCGCTCCTGTTTCCGGTCCGGAGCGGAGTGCGCCGCGGGAAGGGCGTCGCGTGTGACGGTGACGGCAAACGCGGTCGGTTTCAGGCTGTGGACGTGGGACCTGTCCCCGAACGTCGGCCTCTTCTGGTACTTCTTCACGGAGATGTTTCAGCACTTCGAGTCACTGTTCATCGCTACTTTCCAAATCAACGCCTTCATCTACGCCGTTCCGCTCACTCTCCGGTACGCGACCCGGGCTGGCGCGTCCATCGGTCCGGAACGTCACAGCCTGGTGTGCTGTCTGTGTATGCGCCGACTTAGGGTGTGATGCTGTTAGAGGTGAATCAGAAATGTCTGCAGTTAGTATCCGCGTTGTCACAGTTAACCATAAGGCAGGGCTGCCTGTAGCGCCGTCTGATATTGGCAACAGTGTCATGTCAGGTGGACTCCTGCTTGGCAGTGTCTGGTGTCTGCTGGAGTTGGCCGCCCCTGGGCCCTTGCAGTCCCCGGTGTCTGCTGGGGTGTGCTGCTCCTGGGTCCTTGCAGTCTCCAGTGTCTGCTGGAGCGGGCCGCTCCTGGCGCCTCGCAGTCTCCAGTATCTGCTGAGGCGGGCCGCTCCTGGGCCCCCGCAGTCCCCGGTGTCTGCTGAGGCGGGTCACTCCTGCCCCTGTTTTGACGCCGCGCTCCGTGACCGGGTGTTGCGGGTGTGTTTTCCCTGCGGATGACGACGTTGTCTCGACTCCAGATTCCGTGACCGGCCCGTGCTGGTGATGTTCGCGCTGCTGGTGCTGATGGTGATCTTCAAGTCATACCCGAGCGTGGCTGAGGCCGGCCTGTATCTGGCGCTGCTGCCGCTCTGGCGGCCGCTGGCGCCATATGCCCGCTACGCCTTCCCCGTCAGCTGCTTCTACCTGTCGGTGACTGTGCTGGCGCCCGTCATGTGGACCCTCTGGATCCATGCCGGCTCGGCCAACGCCAACTTCTTCTTCGCCGTCACGCTCGCCTACAACGCCGCCCAGGTGAGAGGCGCCGGCGCGGGCGCTAGCCTCCCTGGCTGGCCGGTCGCCTCGCCGGCGACCCGCGGCGCCGGGTCGGGCTGCCGCCGTCGCCGCTGCGGTCTTGACCGGGCGGGCCGGGCTGCGGTGATGAGGACCTCGGTCTTTCCCGCGGCCAGCACCAGACTCTCCCTAGCCGTGCGTTCACCGGGACGGAGAGGCTGTCACGTACACCGAATGGTCGCCTCAGGGCAGTGTACGGTTTTATTCTGTCAAGACCAAGGTTCATGAGACTGAAGAAAACTGAGACAGGTTGAACTGTGTATCATACGTTTTAAACTATCCCGGCATGAATTAAGAGCAACTGTGGTTAGGAGGAACCCTCACCACGGTCCTTCGCGTCAAACCATGGGAACCACCGCCATACATGGCAGACATGTGCGCTCGAAACTCTTGATGGATCTTAGACAACACATAAAGTTGATCTAATCGGAATTCTAAAAAGCTTTTAACCTTGGGTCAACCTTGAAAGGTATAAAAGTAGAGACGTTGAGCATGGGTCCGGCATCGATTTTCACAGCGATCAACGTTCTGTTGGGGACAGCTACCAGCAAGCAGAGTCAGAACTTCCGGTTGCATTTTTTTGGGCCGAGTCGATTCGTTCCGTAATTGACGATCGCTCTTCCGCGCTGTAGTAATTGTGTTCCCCGTAGAGTCTCCAAAGCATTGTTAACAGCAGTGGCGTGTTTGTAGCGGAGCGCGCGGCACTGAGTTGACGAAACGATCGCGTGAGCGGTGACACCACCATCAGCCAACGATTTATGGGAAAGGCACCTCTAAAGAACCCATAATTCGCCGACATAACTGCCAAAAGCTCCTACGCTGAACATTTACAGGCTAGAGCGTCATGCCATCAATCCGGTGAAACAGCAGTCAGCCCCGACACCCGCGCTTTTGTGCGGTCCAGGGACAGGATATCACAATGAGGAGGACGAAAATCCTCACGCCGTGAGCGGACCCCCAACCCCAGGACGTCAGTGGTCTGTGTGTCAGAGGCGGACATGGAACACGCTGTGGATAGACCTCGACCCCTGGACGTCAGCGGCATGTGCGTCAGAGACAGACAAAGAACATGCTGTAGACGGACCCCTGACCTTTGGACGTCAGTGGGGCGTGCGTCGGGCACGCTATGAAGACGCGGAGAGACCAATGGGCATGATATATAATGAGCCAATTTCCAACTTGGCTGAAAAACAAACTATGTACAGCAAGTCGTTTGTTTACCTAACAGCGCCTGGCAACGGCCGGCACGTGTTAACGGTCCTGCGTGCCTGGGAAATGGGCAACTTCTGATGACATGCAGATGACGTGATCGATGATGGCGCCCTTGACCAAACAGTGTGCTAGTAATAGTGGTATCGATTAACGCCAGAATGCGCCCATGCAGTGCCCATGCAGCGCCCATGCGTTTCCCCGAGCCGAGTCGCTGGCCCTTTCTGCCCTTTACACATACCCGGTTTTGCCGCATTTTTCATAGCGTGTCTGGCGCACTTCCCAGCGATGATACAGTTTGGTACCTCGGTGGGCAGCATTTGCTTACGAAGAAAGGGCCTAGGCTGGGACAGCCAGGTGGCAAGCGCTCGGCAGTCCAACTCGTCCTTTTGTTGGCATATAACCACACGGGTGGGGGACCTGTACCGCGGCCTTTCCACTTGTCGCGCAAGTTCAATGACAGGGGAGGGGAACATGTGCCGCGGCCTTTACACTTGTTGGGCACGTTTAAAAAAGCCTGCGACGATGCGTGAGATACGCACGTCGTGTTTATCATTAATAACCCGAGTTTTCTATCAGTACGACTGGATATTTCCAGCCGGTGCATCCCTCACCGCAGAAGATCGCCCGCCCCCGCGTCACAGCGCCAGCCCGGCCGCCACCCACCCGCCGCCTCCTGCCGCAGATCTTCCTGGTGACGGACCTGCTGTTCGCCCAGCTGAAGCGAGACCACGCGCTGCGTCACGGCTCCAACACCGAGGTGGACGGAAAGCCGGCCAAGCTCGTGTTGTGCTGAGTCGCCTCCGCCAGCGGTCGCGACCTCTCGGTGATCGGCCGGGTACCCCGCTGTCTCAGTCAGCACGAGCGGGCGGGCGGCCGCCGCCCCGCCGGTCATCCTCAGTGAGTCATTCGCCATACTCCCCACCCGTCTGCGTAAACAGCGTGCATTTAATGTACTGTCGTGTAATATACTGTCATATGTACGACACGACTCTCCGGGCGCTGCTCTCCAGGGCAGCTCCATATTGCACTAGCTCTCCTTCCGTCACGGCCCGGTGACTCAGACAGGGCCGCTACCCAGACCCGCCCGCTGCTGCGGCCCGGGAACACTCGGCCCGGGCCGGCGACGCTTCCTCTCGAGACGAGACGAATACGAGGCGATCCAGCCCGCCGGCGGCTCCGTCACACACCGCTCTGTCATATACCGCCCTCACAGGCGACTGGGGCGGCTGGCTCTCCGCGTGGCTCGCGGCGGCGGCCGGTCAGTGGCCGACACCGCGCGTGTCGGCGCCGGCGCCTCAGGCCGTCTGTCGCTCTCGGATGTTCTTGGAGATCATCGACAGCACCTCCAGCGCGGCCACCGGGATTTTGGTGCCTGAAACGAGCGAACACGCCGGGCTAGGATGAGACAGGGCAGAAGGGAAACGGCACAACACGCTATCGGTGAATGTCATATTGTTACTACGCGTTGTAGACCGTTTTGTTGGAGAAATTTCGGAGGCATATTTTGCACGAGTGTCCAGGTGATCAGCTTCCGCTCAGTGAAGCGAGTAGTGAAGACACCGGTTTCGACATCCCACAAGAGGACTTCTGGCTTAACGGGCGATGTTTGCTTGCAACCGGACCGCATGGTGTCGCGTGACGGTGTCACGCGGCCTCCTCTGGTCGACCAGGACTCTTGCCCAGTCCAAGTGACCGTCCAAGAAGCCACATTAAACTGGCTTTGGGGTGCGTGAATCCGCACACTTTCAGCACAGTAGACCATGCCCGATGCTTTATCAAGTGAGCAATCATTATGGACAGGGGTAAAGAGCAACACGAGCAGGTGCACGTGGGCGATACGGTATGGACAGGATGCGGAATATACACGCACAAAGAGAGGACATTTGACATGCACGCATCAGATGGCAGGCAACATTGTATCCGGGGGCACACGTTTGCTTTGAAAAAGTTTTTCAATACAAAATTATTTACCCCGCCTCTTGAAATGCGGTCACACTATCAAGGGCAGTTCCAAACAGCCCGAGCTGTCGTGCTCCTGACCGCTTCAAGCCAGACCGGGTTCGTAACAGAGCGCGCGACACGCGTCCGCGCTGGCAGCAGCCGTCGCGCCCGCCCCGCTCACCCGGCCCGAAGACGGCGGCCGCGCCGCAGTCGTACAGCATCTGGTAGTCCTGCGGCGGGATGACGCCGCCCACGATCACGAGCGCGTCGCCGCGGCCGGCGGCGCGCAGCGCGCGCACCAGCGCCGGCACCAGCGTGCGGTGGCCGGCGGCCAGTGTCGACACGCCCACCACGTGCACGTCCGCGTCCACCGCCTGCTGCGCCACCTCCTCCGGCGTCTGGCGGGCGCACGCCACGGCGGCGTTAGAGGGCGCCCACCGCTGTCGACCGGCCGCAGCGGCAGGCGCCAGGCGGCCCGCATGGCGTACACACACGTGACCCACGCACGTCGGGCGCCGAGATGACTGTGAGCGATACCGCCGGATTGAGCGGCTGGCCAGCGAATGGCCCAGTTGACGCGGCGCTAATGCTTTTCGCGCAATGGTGGGGATTTCTCGTCGCTAACGTATGAGTGTCCATTGTGCCCCTTCTGACCAACTAAACCTCATGAAAAAACTTATTTCAAACACGGCGAAAACTCCTCCCTGCATTAATAAACCCACGCCGCCGGGTAGGCCGAGTGTCCAGCAGAACCCGCCGCGGCGGGCCGCCGTCAGCCGAGAGGGCTTCCAGCGCCATTACCTGGAAGAGCGGGCCGACGTCCACGTCAAAGCCCAGGTCGGCGAAGCCGGTGGCAATGACCTTGGCGCCGCGGTCGTGACCGTCCTGGCCCATCTTGGCCACGAGGATGCGCGGCCGGCGGCCCTCCTCCTCGGCAAACTCCGCCACCTGGCGGCGGCCGGGCGGTGTCACGGAGCGGCGGCAGGAGAGGGGGGTCTCCGGCGCACCTGGTCGTACCAACCGTGGGACTGCTGCACTCCCCGCCCTGCAGGATGCGTGGACACTCGACTTACACGAGCCGTCGGCGCAGGCAATCCCTGGGACGGAAAACAGAGCAGGTATTGTCACTGCGGGCACTGCCCCACCGCGAGAAGGGTATGCTGAGAGACCGGGGATTGCAAGAAGGGTCATCACAAGACGACTGCCGCCGACGCAAGCGGGGACATGCTAGGGTCCGGTGTTCGCTGGGCTTGCATTATAGGACGGCCGGCTCGCCGGCGTGCCGCCCGGCTCGGCTTGGACAATGAGCTGGCCGGTGGCGGCGCCTCCAGCTGCGGCATACCATCGGCTGGGAAATGGGCAACTTCTGATGGCATGTAAATGACGTGATCGGACCGGCTGAACTCGGCGGTGCCGGCTCAGGCGCCGCCATCGCCGACGCTCTACACCTCACCTTCTGCATGACACGCTGCAAGTCCTCTGTGTCGGCGTACTCGGACTTGTACGCGCCCGAGACAAACTTGTCAGTAGCCACGTGCCGACCGAACACCTCCTCCATGGCCTGCGTGATCTCGCCGACAGTGGCGCGCGCCCGCGCTGCTGCCACCTGCCGACCGCATCCAAAGCTCAGGTTACAACACCCGCTGCTAGTACAGCCTTTCGACGGCATAGCCCCCCCCATGTCCTTGTGAATGTCCCCCCCCCCCCATTCCCCCCCTCTCACGATATCTCCCTCCGTAGACGCCGATTAATAAGAGACCCCGCGTTTAACAAAACATGATTTACACACAGACAAATATTGTAACAGCTTATAATAGCCGGTCCCCAGCGGCCGCCCAGTCCGGGGCCGAACCGCCACTCACAGCCGCCTTCAGCAGGTTGCCCTCGCCGGAGCGCGCCGTCTCTGTGAGCTCGTGCAGGGCGCGCCGCACGGCCTCCGCGTCCCGCTCGGCCCGCAGCGCTCCAGCTTGGCGCACTGCAGCCGGTACCACCTGCTCGTTGTCAATCATCAGCACGTCTAGCGGCTCCTCCTTCTCCAGCCGGTACTTGTTGACGCCGACGATTGTCTCTGTCGGTCGGCGGGCGCGTCGTCAGCTGGCTGTGTTAGCCGTCAGCTGGCTCCGGCAGTCGTCAGCTGGCTGTGTTACCCGTCAGCTGGCTCCAGCAGGTGTTAGCTGGCTTCGGTAGCCGTCAGCTGGCTGTGTTAGCCGTCAGCTGGCTCCGGCAGCGCTGTCCGCTTCCTCCAAGCGTGACCAAACAGCATGCTAAGCGCCCTCATCTGACTTTGCGCGTCGTGTTTATCATAAATGGGCGAGAAATGTCCGCTATAAGTACGATCTGCTTTTGGCGCAAATTCCTCCGATCCGTTGGTGATGTAACTCGAAGACAAATTCAGCAAGGAAGTAATCCATCAACTTCCAGGGTGACAGTGACAAGTTCCCAGCATGAAAATCACTAGGAAATATGTCACGTGACACCAGACGAACAGAACTACACGGAGAAGACCGGAATCCCAGAGTTTTTTGCCAGCGAGTGCGAGCCCGGCAGGCGCCGACGGCGGACCGACCTTTGCCGGAAGTCGATGGGCGGCCTGTTTGCGGGCGGCGCACTCCTCGATTTTGAGCTGGGCCAGCCGAAGCGACGCCTCGGCCATGCCGCCCATCTCCTCCACCTGGTCAATGACCTCCCGCCCGGCGCGCAACATCTCGGCCGTCAGCGCCTCCATGGCGTACGAGCCCGCCCACGGGTCAATGACCTGCCGCACAAAGGGGCAGAGGTTAGCGCCCCAGATCAGCCCACACGCATCTCGGCCGTCAGCGCCTCCATGGCGTACGAGCCCGCCCACGGGTCAATGACCTGCCGCACAAAGGGGCAGAGGTTAGCGCCCCAGATCAGCCCACACACATCTCGGCCGTCAGCGCCTCCATGGCGTACGAGCCCGCCTACGGGTCAATGACCCGCCCCACATGGGGGCAGAGGTTAGCGCCCCAGATCAGCCCACACGCATCTCGGCCGTCAGCGCCTCCATGGCGTACGAGCCCGCCCACGGGTCAATGACCTGCCGCACAAAGGGGCAGAGGTTGGCGCCCCAGATCAGCCCACACACATCTCGGCCGTCAGCGCCTCCATGGCGTACGAGCCCGCCTACGGGTCAATGACCCGCCTCACATGGGGGCAGAGGTTAGCGCCCCAGATCAGCCCACACACATCTCGGCCGTCAGCGCCTCCATGGCGTACGAGCCCGCCCACGGGTCAATGACCCGCCTCACATGAGGGCAGAGGTTAACGCCCCAGATCAGCCCACACACATCTCGGCCGCCAGCGCCCACATGGCGTCCGAGCCCACCCGCGGTCAATAACCTGCCGCACATGGGGGCAGAGGTTAGCGCCCCAGATCAGCCCACACACATCTCGGCCGTCAGCGCCTCCATGGCGTACGAGCCCGCCCACGGGTCAATGACCTGCCGCACACGGGGGCAGAGGTTAACCGCCCAAGTCATCCCCGACAACGGATGCGCGGCTTTATACACGTGTCTGTATGTGACTTATGTGCCTTTTGTGCACGCGTGTATTCGTCCATGGGTGAGAAGATAAGGCAGCAAGATGTAAGTGACATCAACAGGAAGCTAATGGAGCGGCGGCAGATAGATAAAATATAATATATAGATATAACATATAATATATTAGATAACATATAAATAAAATATAAAAATAGATAGATAAAACAGTTCTATCGTAGTGAAGTAGCGTGTTTGACAAAGCCCGGTGAAAGCTGAACGGATTAATACATCGACAGCGGAGCCCATCCAGAGGAACGCCACGGTGGCGGGAGGCTTCTCGGGTTTCAAGGGCCGGAGGCTACCCTGGTCTCAAGGTCCGGA